ACTTCCTACTGTCAGAGGCCCTATGCAATTTTTAACTTCTGCTATGCTGACAAAGCAAGATTAAAAATCTGCGATGGCATAAAGAATATATCCTCAAGAGTTGAGTATTTCCCCACCTTTAAAACTCTTCCAAAGTGTTAGGGAGTTCTGCACTATATGCTATTTATTAGATAAAGCAATTTCAAATTAGTTCATTAAATTATCTCAATATTTTCAGCTCAAATCAATATACATTTATAGTGAGCAGTGACAGATCTGGGATTCAAGGAGGATAAACAGCAAGAGCTGCTTTACCAAATCTGGAAGAGAAGCACAGGGTAGTTGGGTGATTATCAACTGAGACAGCTGATATAGCTGGGTAGGGTAGGGAATTACTGAAAAAATTGGGTCTTGCAACACCTGATGGTCTTCAGGTACCTAGGTGAGTATAGTGGGTGCTCAACTCAAAAGGGGTGACTTGCTGCAGCAAAATGTTAGAGAATTCTGGTTTTCACTACAGTTTCTGACATAAAAACCCTAATGTATGAGACAGCAAACCCTGGAAAAGAGATTTAGGCGTATTTCCTCTGGATGCTGCTCTATGGCCAACTAACTCCTGGTTTGTGTCCAGATGTCTCCTGTGTCAGCAGCACCACAGAAGCTGCTACCAACTGAAGGGGTCGATTCCCCTCCTGCAGGTGACAAAATCCTGCCCAGCTACAGAGGTGCTTATCAGGATGGCTAAACACATGATCATGGGCAGCTTTACATCACAGGCTTCTTTAAGGTTACCGACAGGGATCTGCTTCACAATTCATCTTTGGGGACATCTTCAGGAATCTCTTCTCATGAAATAACTGAAGGAGTTTCTGTGATAGTAGAAATTCTATAAACCTGTGATTAAGGCAGTAGTGAGTGAAGTTAGTGTATCTAATCAAAATTGGACTCAAAAGGTACAGTAGGAAACAAGATTAGGCGATAAATCACCTTTCATTGCAAATTTTAGAAAGGAAAAGAAAGGAGAAAAAAATTCAATAAAATCTTCCAGATGGATAAAAGCTTGAGCAAACAGGAGTAATAGTCCAAGAAATGGTTGCATCCAAATTGCATAAGTCAAAAAGGGCATAAATCTGAGAAGTTAAAGTAAATAAATGTGACTAAAAGTACATAAGATTTTAAAATTAAATCAGAAAATCGTATGTTTAATTCTGAAGGGAACGGTGTGTGCCAGAATATTGAGTTATACATTGCTGTATTGAAGAGCAGGTCAAGATCTTATCAGCTCTATTATGAGGAATGTCAATAAAAGTCTGCGTGATGATAAAATGTTTAATTAAAAATGAACATTGTGCAACAGATGAACTCTTTGGATTATACTGAAAAAGGAGTCAAATGTATTGCGCTCTCCAAGTTACAAATTGCACTGAATCATTTTTCCTCCATCAAACATTCTTATCACTATGAAATCTTGTATAAAAAATGGATTTATTTATACTAGGTTCTTTACAAATTAGTTTAAGATTATTTACCTACAGGATACTTCAAACACTTTAACATCTGGGACAACTGTGATGAGAAGAGCATTAGGATCTTGTTTTCTTGGTACTCTTTCAGGTGAGTAAGTGGTTTGCTTTGGCAAGTTAATTAACAAAGCAAAGGATTAATACTAATTCATGAGTATGAAGGAACAGGAACTAGCAAGATTGAGTATTCTGGTTTATTATTTATATAATATACATGTACACAACATGACTGCCCTAAATATCTCCCACAGCACAGTAGAGAAGGCAACAAACCAGGAAGAGCACACAGAACTAAATGCAGCAATACCCATGGTAAACAGACATCATGCTCTTCCCTGGTGAAAATAATCCTACCCCCCATCCCCTCTGCAAAGTTAACCGTCTCAAACACGAGGAAGTGCCAAAGCTAGGATAATTATCTATGGGAGCAATGCCTCAGCAAGGCTTTTCAAGACAGAAAATATGCTTTGTACATACTTGTAAAGGAATGATGCAAAATGCAGGGAGCATAAAATGGTAAATTAGCACCATAGGAATAGGCAATAAATGGTTTAACACCTTCATGGCCTTCCCTTCTGGCATAACTCTATATAACAAGGTATAACGGAGCATTTGTATGGACACTTTGGCCTGAACATGCAAAGAGAAGATTTTTAAAATATCTCTACCACCAGCTTCAAAATCCCAACATAAACAGACACTTGAGCATACACATATATATGCACACATACACTGCACAAACTGTGTACTGATGTAATTCTAAAAACCCAGCCTGAACTGGAAAGGATTTCTAATGAAAAGCATTGTGAGTTTCCTAAAACAAGATCCACCAAGAGAGCAAAACTTCCAATAGGAGCTGATGAACCTGAGATACCGAAACAGTGGAATCAGATATTGGATGAGAGCACGCTCAGCATTTCACATGTCCCTTTTTTTTCAAAAGCAATTAATCCTCACGTTAAAAAATATTTTAGGGTCAGAAACAGCTTTGATGTAGCATTCATGTTTTTGCCAACCAAAATTTAGCTTCAGACGTCATGCAACTATTTTAACATACTCTTATGCCTGCTCTGTACAATGAGTGGAATACAGAGCAAAGTACTCTACGCATCAGCTGATAGAGAAGCAATATTATGTAGAAAATAAGAATTTTGATGCCCTGTAGTAAAAGGGTTTGTAAGTTATGAATGGCCTGTGGGCGGTACATGCTCCGACAGTAGGAGCGTGAAAGAGTCTATTACTAAAGCAAGAATAATTCTTTTCACTCATGGACAAAAATAAGCCTATCAAATCCAAACAGTTGATAAAGGAAAATCCACAATACACTCAAGGAATTTGCAGTCATAGAAACTGGTGATATTAAAGAGCTATTAAGTGATCTAGTTCATTTTGTAGCCATCAACAAGCAGAATAGTTTAATATTACATCTTACCTGCAGGATTGCCACCCTATCCTTTCCTAAATTATTCTGAAGTCCTTTCTCTTTTTATCAGATACTATTTCCTGAGAGTCAGTCTATAATTACCGCTAACAATATGCCATATTTAAAGATAGAAAAATATAGGTATAGAAACATGTTTTCCTTTGAGTATAGGATTCCCCAAATAAAGTACAAATAAACTTCAATAAGAGAGAATTATTACCTAAGAAGCAGATTTGGTAGCAATATTAAAAACTAAGTCCTCAGAGGAGGTCTAGTTAGAGGCATGAACAGAACAAATCTTTTACCAGGAGCCAGCAGAGATTCCCAGGGTCATGGCCTAGTAGATTTTGAGAGAAAAACTCCTACTGATCTCAATGGAATATGGTTCCCATATTTTATTCATAGTATATCACCACAAATGTAAACTACAAATGAAGCATCATGAGGTGAGGTGCCTATAAATTCATAATGTTTTCATCCACTCTAATAGCCAAGACCTCTCCCTGAACTCCAATGGAGGCAAATTAGTTCCACATGTCACATACCAACCGTAATATTTTCCCTTACACTTGGTACACAATGAGGGGATGCAGTACAGCATAGAGCAATTAATACATTTCTTTTTGTGAAATAATGCATGACAGAACAACTCAGAAAAGATGTCACTCACTTGAAAGTGGTGAGTTGCTAGCCCATGAAGAGTATAAGTAGAAAAAGCAATCAAAATAAGATAAATTGAGCCCCCCTACTGTCTAACATCCTCCTAAGTTGTTGCCTCGCTTGCTTCATTTCAACCCTTCTTTCCTTACAGGTCTCCAAGTACACCTCACATCCAACATCACATCTGAATCTGGGATTACAACCTATCACGATCCAAAGTGAATCAGGTCAAGTTGTATCGTTTCCTGAGGGAAACTATATCTAACATATAGGATAGGAGCGCCAAGCATAGGCAACTTGTGCATTTTGCATACCCTAGGGTATCCTGCCAAGGGCTCAGCTGCCATTCCAGATGGCTGTGGGTCTATTGCAGGGTTTGTGTCATATTTACCAGTCCCATGTTTAAGTAACAAACTTTCACCTCAATATGTCTTTTACCACCAGTGAGAAAATATTAAACTGGAACCGATGTCATTAGGCTGTGTCTCTTCATTTCACTGCACTTTGACCAGAGATGATGTATAACAATAATAAAAACAACAACATTAATAATAAGCAAATTTTCTCAAAATCACTGTCATTAAACCATTCTGTTAGGAAACGGCCTTGGTTATGGAACACTAATTAAGATCTGTTCTTTCTGATGACACATGCACAGAGGGACAACAGAGTATACTTGTAGTCACAGGTAACAGTCACAACATTCCAAGAATGCTTTGGAACAAAACTGGGAGACTAATGAAAGCTCATAGAACATTGTAGGACAGCACAAAACTTGGATGCATTAATAGCTTTGTTCAGTAAAAGAAGAAGCCACTAAAACCAATGACAAGTCAAGGTGAAGTGAAATCTGGATCCAGCACAACACTGTTTTCAGGACTGCTCCCTCCATTGTCAAGCTTCTAAAATTACCCAGCAGTACTCCAGAATTTGCTAATCAAGGGGTCCTGTCCCTATTTCCCGAGCTCTAAGCTTTTCATATATATTCTCTTCTTGCTTTCCTAGCTCAAATTTGCTCCATTCCATTTTCTGCAGCACCACATTGAAGAAACATCATATACACTTGATTCTTCTGCAGATATTCCAATAGTCTTTAAAACTACAAGCAATGAATTTTTCACATTATAGAAGTTACTACTATCATAAAGAATAATTAAATAAGTCCTTTAATTTCTTATTTACTGTTGCTGATTGCGAATGGTGGGTTTTGCTGCAGTGAAATGGTGATACCTTGAAAATATCTTCTGCCAATAAATTTAAAGGTACAACCAAGTAATAGCAGCAATAGCTCTGAGATTACTAATGTTGTTCCAAAATTCGAAAGACTGGGAATACCTGTTTGACTTAATTTATATTAAAGAGAAAAGCGATTATGAAGAACTTCATCAAGCCTCATGGGAAAGAAATAAACCTACCTTATTCCACGAAATCTCTTCCGTTTGCCAGTACTACTCAGTGCTGCATGTGGCATCACTCAAAGAGTGGGATATCACAGCAGGCAGAAGTTTTCATCTACAGAAAATGTTACCTTCCAGATCTGTAACATAAAGACAAATCACGGTTCTTTCAGAAACAAAGACTCTGTAAAAACACTCCACTGTATAATTCCAAGATTATTTTTATATAATTCATGCCTTTTAAGTCTGATGTTTCACAAGGAAAAAAACCCAAACGTTAAAAAAAAACAAGCAAAAAACTCCACAAACAAAACAACCCCAAGCCAAACTAAAACAAAAAACAAACAAAAACAAATAAGCTTCACCACTCCTCAAACTGGCAAACTCGACTTCTAGAGTACAAGCCTATGTTTTGTGGGTTATGCATCTACGCATCATCATCAGTAACCCCAATTCAGTTTATAAATATAAAAAGTGCTTTTCTTTGAAAAACTGATTTTTGCCATTTAGAAGTAAAGACATTGTTGCTTTGGATTATAAGCTTTCTTGTATTTGCCAAGTATCCAGTATACAATCGAATGTTGAACATCATGGTAACAGTTTCAAAATATATAGCAATTGCAGAAGTGTGAAATAAGCATTGTAGAATTAGACTTCAGTGAACTAAAGAGGTCTATGTATGTCCAATTGATGGTAGTATTATTGTTATTTCATTAATTTTTCCAATAATGCATTAACCAAAGTGGAAGCTGACTTCTGCTCCTAAATCCACATGGACTTGAATGCAACCAGTATGAACACACACAGAAAGGGAAAATGGAGAAGGAGAAGTTGATTATTAAAGAGCAAGCTGATACCACAAGAAATACAAATGCTATTAAACAAATACGAACTCTATAAACATTATTTTCGAGCATTCTCTTTTCACAGGCATCAGCAGATTCTGAGCCAAATTCACAATGGTTTGCCAACATGCAAAACTTCAATACAGAGGCAATAAAGTTTTCATAATACTAATCCTTTATTGTATAAAGGACAAACAACTTCATATCATTCGTACCATCTTGGTTTGGAGCATCAGAACATCACTGACAGTATGCAGACCACAGTTTAAGTATATCATTTTAAGACAAGAAGAAAATACCTTGCAACAAAGTGTCTTTCTGAGTTTGAAGTTCTTTTAGGGACTGAAGACAAAAAATAGATATCTTCAATAATCTATTCTGAGAAGATTGTAAACCAAGTGCCTACCTGAAGAATGCGAATAAAATATTTTTCCTTATAACTCTCTGAGGTAAATATCAGGAAGGGGAAAAAAAACCCCAAACTAAATGTTATGATACTGAGATATTACATGCTAAAGGCTAGCACAGTTCATCTCTTGGACAGGGAATGAGAATAACCACTTAGTTTAGGTAAATGGAATAGGAACAAATTACCATGAAGTATCAATGCCCTGCACCAAGATAAAAGATGAAAAGATAAAAGAGTAAAATATAAACAGTTAAATAAAATCTTCAAGCCCTAAGAATTCTGTGGACTGAACCGCTTGCTAAAGGTTCTGCAGTAAGGTTCTGCTCACAGCCAAGGCCTAACTTCAAACAAGCTGCCGACCCAGTCCTGTATTACTTGTTCTCTTTCATACATGAAACCTCCACACTCTGCCCTCTGGGCTACACCTTCTCAGCCCATCACCAGAGCAGCCCCTGAGGGACTAAAGGCTGGGATTTTTCCAAAATGTGCCGAAAAGAAAGGAAGATCCCTCGTCTGTTAAAAAAATAAAATTAAAAAGAAAATTGATATAAAAAGGAAAAGAGGATATTCTGAAAACTTCATGCTGAGCAGTGCTGAACAGCCATCCCTGTCTGGACAGACATTACAGTGCTCTTCCCCTTTTCCAAGAGTCAATGAGAAAGAGTCTACGAAGTGCCATCAGCAGATCTGGTATTTCTGAGGGACAAGACTTCACTGATGGAGAGTAGGGGGGTACTTGGAGTCCACCATCTACTTTGCTTTCAACACAAACTTTTCCTTATCTAGATTTGCAGAAGGCAGACACTATGATAGTATGGTAATATGAAAAAAGAGGACAAAGACTATTCTGTTTGATTTTAAGGCATAGTCAGATTTTCGTGCAGCAAAAATTTAGGAATGTGGGAAAAAAATTACAATTTGTAAAGTTTTAAAAAGTCTACAATCCAAATGCTGAAATTCAGCAGATTCAGATTGTGAAAATAGTGTTTTACATGAATTAACTGTTGCTGTGCTTTTATTTTTGTAAATTGAAACTTCAACTCTTCCTTTCTGCTCTTTATTTTTAAAATAAATACCAATTTCTTTCACTGACCAAGACGTAGGTGGCTAAAGTATTAGTCTTGATCTTCAAGGCCTCTGAAGTTAATTTGAGAAGATGCAGCTAGTCCCAAATATTTGATAATTTTTAGAGTGGAGCTCACAAATAGAATTCTGAGGTTTTCAAACATTAAAAATATTTCCTATTTGCCCTGAGAAAGGTCACTCCTTTCACATCAGAGTCAGAAGCAGAAGCTAGGATTCTTTCCTAAAGGTTTTTGAGATAGTGTGACAAATGAAAAAATAATAAATTATATATGACACCTTTTCTAGATTACATACTTGATTCTATACCTACCACAGGGTCAGTGTTTAAGCTGCAACCAGGACACACAGTCTAATGAAACAAAAAACATACTGATTTTCAGGACTGTGCCTGAACAGTGGGTATTTTTTTTAACTTCTCATAAAGGACTGATAACTAAATAACTAATCTGGTAAAGATATTAACTATCTAAATACATTTATTACCCCTTCAGCCTTTGTATTTCCTGCATTATATTAAAGAACCGTGTATTACTATCACTACTATGGTTTAACATTTAGAACAATAACCAAGAGTGAAATGTTTCTTTTGCTGAACAGAAATTAAATGGGAAATTCACAAAAGTAAAAAAAAAAAAAAGATGGAAAGCTCCTTCTGCAAACCTTGGGTCTATTCCCCTTTTGAAAAGGGGATTATCAGCGATTGCCATTTGTTGCCATTCAGTTTCATGACAGTAGATTAGTGCACAAAATAAAGTTTGAAATTAATTTGAAATGAATTTTTCACCAGCCACAGTTTTGGCACAGAGCATTTGTCACCCCAACAAACGTGTACTAGAATTAATCTTCATCCTGTAGAAGGCTTCCCCAGCAGCTTCACACCAGAGCAGATCACAGAGAATGATCAGATTTATTATCTATTTATTGATATTCCTGAGGCATTTGGATGGATTGATTTGGATATGCTACTCCTTAGACATACTAGATAGATTACTTAACAAATTTCAGAGCAGCTGCCCGTGACCGGCTCAATATCTCACAAGAAGTTCTTGCTCACACAGACCCATCACTTGCCAGGAGCGTGTCTGTTTTCTGATCTACAGCTGTCTTCTTGTGATAGGCAAACCAGAGCACCAGCAGAGGAAGTTAAAGCAGCCTGATCTTGTCCTTTGAATTTAGACTACATTACTAGCTTAATAATATGCTGCTTTGCATAAATACTTTGAAAGATCTCTGTTATTCTACTGTTACCTTAATAGCAAAAGGAAATGTGTTTTCAGAGATGAATCATTCTTTGATTACCACTTTTTGCTTTTAAAAATGCCAACTTCTGACAAAATGGACAGCCTTCTGCAGCATGTTTCAGTTTGAGCTGTGGAGCAGAGCAAAAGGAAGGACACTTGGTAACTTTTTAAGAGTTTCTTTCCACCTGATATAATCTAGTAACAGAACTTGAGGCTTACCATGGCAGATTCACAGCCTGGCACAGTTGTTCGTTATCCATGCAAAATCCATCCCACCTTCTGAGGGAAGAAAACTGCCCTCCCTGCAGATCTCATCCTACTGCCTGGTGATGATGGGCTGCTCCTATTTTAGCATTACTCAGGAGTCTTTATACTCAGAACTGTAGCAGGGCACCTTTATCGAGGAGATGTTGCCTGTAGAGGGGCTAGATTTCAGCAGTGTTTCCTTCCATCCTACTATTTTTAATTTAGAAGTCAGGCCAACCACAGAAGAAGGGCAACACTGTTGGATAGTTCCTACAACTGGTTTTTCTTATTTTAAATACAGAAATAGAACTACTAGGCCAGCTGTTCAGACATGTGCATGGAAGGGTCAATACACACAAGCCCCTTTTCAGGAAAATGCCCAAACTGCCAGTCTTCAGGTGATTCTGGCTCCATCTCGGTACTGAGAACCTGATGCCCCTGCTATGAACATTTCAACTCTAGTCTGATTCTGTGGTTTGAATCCCTGACTGGGGAGCATCTCCCACATTAGTTTAATCTGAAATGAAACTGGTTCACATGCTCTCAGACACAAAGTAAAGTCATGAATGTATGATTTTTTCTGCAAATGTGTTTCACACAGATCCATAGGAACTGGTTCTGAAGTTGGTGAAGACTTTGTCTAACCCTGAAGCCATATGAGTCAAGAAGTTGACAAAGGTGGCTGAATTATCGATTAGATCATACTAAAAGTGAAGGTAACAACTAAACTAAGAAAAATTTATTCACTGAAAATATTTTCCCCAGAAAATTTAGACAGATTAACTCAATAAAATAAAATAAAGAGTGACTGGTTATTAAGTAAGCCTGAATATTTTCCAACGTAGTACAAGATAACAGTGCAAAGATAAATTTAGATATCTAGAGAGAGAAAGAGATAGCAAGTATTTTTTTTCTGTTGGCACTATGAATAAAAAAAAATAAAACTGCTTTTCAGTAAATAAAACAGTCTTCAAATCACAAATCTTTTCAGTACGAGTTCTCTTAACTAAATTATGCAACTAACAAAAATAAAAAGGTTATGAAATCTTTGAGAACAAGTGGTCTTTTCCACAGAGTAAGATGGACCCTAAAGGTAAAAAAAAAAAAAAGAAAAATGAAATTGAATTTACTCCTTATGAGATATTTAAAAGTCCCTCTACAAAGTCTTCAAAGTTGACCTCAGAATGTTTCATATCTTGTTATGCAGATGCAAACATTTCTGAAGAACTAGAAATTTAGAATCCACAATTCACTGCTTTCAGTGGTAAAGGAACAATAGATCCAACCCAAGATGTGGCGATTTTCAAGGAAGC